GGAAACCCCACCTGATCCCGCGCTGCCCTCACAATTGTGCTTATGTTTGATCCACTTCATTAACTGACAGTGTTCTGCTGCTAGCCACAAGGTTTTCAGTAGCCAATTCCTCCAAGGTGGACAGCATTCCTTCTATGGAGTCTAATTCTTAATCTGGAAGCTCTGCTGAAACCTATTCACTTCGGTTTACCCTGCTGGTATGTGAGAGACCGGTCTATGTTGTTAAGTGCCATCGAGTTAGTTCCAGCCCATAGTGTCCCTGTGCACAACAGAACAAAAGACCGCCCAGTCCTGGACCATCCTCCCAATTGTTCCGAGGCTTTGACCATTGTTGCAGCCACCGCGTCGATCCATCTTGTTGAGGGCCTCCCTCTTTTTCGCGATCCCTTCACTTTATCAAGCTTGACGTCCTTCGCCAAGAAATGTTCTCTCCTGACAATAGGTCCAAAACATGTGAGGTGAAGTCACGCCATATTTGCCTGTAAGGAGCACAATGGCTGTACTCCTTCCAAGACAAATCTTGGCTTTTCCTTTTAGGAGTCCATGGTACTTTCAATATTCTTTGCCAGCATCACCATTCAAATGCATTGATTCTTCTTCACTCTTCCTTATTCAAAACCAAACTTTCACATGCATATGAGGTGATTGAAAATACCATGGCTTGGGTCAGGCACACCTTAGTCCTCAAAGTCACACCCTGGCTTTTCAATACTCTAAAGAGGTTTCAGCAGATTTACCCAAGATAAGTTTTTTGATCTCTGGACAGCTGCTTTTATGATCATTGATAGTGAAACTAAGCAATACAAAGTCCTTGACAACTTCAAACTCCTCTCCATTTTGCATGATGTTGCCTGTTGGGACAGTTGTGAGGATTTTGGTCCTCTTTATATTGAGATACAATCTATCTATACAGTGAACCCTCGTTTATCGCGGTTAGTCGGTTCTAGAGCCTACCGTGATAAATGAAATTCCGCGAAGTAGGATTCCTTATTTGTAAATCAAATATTTTCGTAGTTAGAGCATAGAGGACATGAAAAAACACCCTTTAGTCACCATTACACTCGTATTACCCACTTTATTAAACGAAAAAGGGAAAATACAGTGAAACATTTTGGACATTACAATTATCATTTATTATTTATTATATCATTTATGGCATCAAGCATGTACAGTATGAGCCAATCAGTGGCAGTAATGACAGAGCATGCGCTGTTATGCAAAAACCGCAATAGAGTGAAGCCGCGGACGTCGAAGCGCGAAGTGGCGAGGGTTCACTGTACATTGAAGGCTGAAATTCTCGACCTTCATCATCAAGTGCTTCAAGTCCTCCTCACTTTCAGCAAGCAAGGTTGTGTCATCTGTATACAGCAGGTTGTTAATATGTTTTCCTCCGATCCTTATGCCACATTCTTCTTCCTATTAGCCAGTTTCTCTGATGATTTTCTCAGCATACAGATAAAATAAGTATGGTAAGAGGATACAACCCTGAGGCATACATTTTCTGGTTTTAAACCATGCAATCTCCCCTTGTTCACATTGCACAACTGCCTCTTGATCTATGTACAAGTTCCAAACAAACACAATGAAATGTTCTGGAATTCCCTTTCTTCTCAAAGTTATCCATAGTTTGTTATGATCCACATAATTGAATGCTTTGGCATAGTCAATAAAATACAAGTAAACATAGCTTCCAGCCTCACGGCAGCACAAGCCAACACCATATGCTAAAGCGGCAGACAAGTGGTGAAGCTCTATGGAACTAAAAATAACCCTGTAGAACTAAAGAAACCTCCTCACTGCCATGAGTCAATTCCAACCCACAGGATCCTATAGGACGGACTAGACGGCCCCTATGGGTTTCACAGACTGATCTTTATGAGAATGGAAAATCCCATCTTTCTGACACAGTGACTGGTGGTTTAGAACTTCTGAACTTGCCGTTAGCAGTCCACTGTGTAACCCACGACACCACCAGAGCACACCAAAAACCCTATGGAGCACAGTTCTATTCTGACACAACTGGACTTGCCATGAGACAGAGTCAACGAAAGACAAATTGGTTTCATAGTTGTCCTTATTACCTGACTCAATATTATCTGGGACAAATGTCATTTTTAAAATATATTTTTATTATCATTAATCCTTTTATTGGGAATTCTTACATATATCATAACATTCCGTAGTTCCATCACTTCAAACAAATGTCATTTGTATAGAGAAAAATATTTTTTTTCTTCAGTCTGCTGCAGTCTAGTCTATATAGGTTTGAATATGCATTCTAATCCCACTATTTTCTTTTTTTTTGCATTTTTCCCTTTGTTTATTTTTATTTATTTTTTTAAATCATTTTATTGGGGCTCATACAACTCTCATCACAATCCATACATACATCAATTGTGTAAAGCACACTTATACATTTGTTGCCCTCATCATTCTCAAAATTCACCTTCCGCTTGGGTTCCTGGAATCGGCTCCTCATTTTCCTTTTTCCCGTCCCCCACCCTCCCCGCTTCCCTCTCCCCTCTCCCTCATGAACCCTTAATAATTTATCAATTATTATTTTATCATATCTTACACTGCCCGGCGTTTCCCTTCACTCACCCTTCTGTGGCCCATCCCCCAGAGAGAAGGTTATATGTAGATCCTTATAATTGATTCCCCCTTTCTACTCCCCCCTTCTCTCCCGGTATCGCCACTCTCACCGCTGGTCCTGAGGGGTTCATCTCTCCTAGATTCCCTGTGTTTCCAAGTCCCATATGTACCACTGTGCATCCTCTGGTCTAACCAGGTTTGCAAGGCATTATTGGGATCATGATAGTTGGCAGGAGGAAGCATTTAAGAACTAGAGGAAGGTTGTGAGTTTCATAATTGCTACTCTGAATCCTGAGTGACTCATCTCCTCCCCACTACCCCTCTGCAAGGGATGTCCAGTTGTCTACAGATGGGCATTGGGTCCCCATCA